ACGCTTGCATTGCGGGAGCTCTCGTGTCTTCTATGCTCGAATGCAACACACAACATTGAGCAAAAACTTCTTCAAAATCTGCTTGTGTCGCCGGAAAAGTACTCTGGTGTTCCAGAAGTCGATTTGCTACATCCCACGGAGATTTCGCCGTTGCAATTAGACGCATTGGCCGCCCACCTCCACCAACTCGTTTGTGCTCTCTATACCCAAAACTCGGTGGCTCCCAGCCATCCCCTCAGCTTTCTAGGTTTTTCGTTGGTTTAGTGGTAGTTTCCATTTAACCCACTAAAAGTCAACTCTTAGCAGCAGGTCTGAGGCCCGAAACACGCTCTGCCCCTTTCTGCCATGGAAGTCCACTGAGGGTAGAACCTAGGGGGTGTTTTACTCCGGGGCTTGGTTTTGGTTTCCCTCCCACCCTAACATGGAACCTGACATTTGCGGGGTCCCAAGTCCATTCTCCTCTAAATGGGGCCTTCTGTTGGGTTCCAAGTGGGAGGGTACATTTGTACACATGGACGGCTTGTTTGCGGCTCCACGTGGCACAAGATCGGTGTTTTGTTGCCGCGATCTGTTCCCAACAACAACAAGTCACATTTGATTGCAAGGTGCCTGGCAAGTTTCTGACGTCTTCCCCGACGGCTCTGAGGGTCGATCCCATTTGTATTATTAGATCCCCGCGTTCTCTTCAGAACGCACGATTCTATGCCTGCTTGGCATATTGATGGTTGGCCGCTTTCTGAGAGATGAAGAAGATACAAAGTTTACAAATCACACCTTGGGAGTTCTCAGGTCAGCCCTTTCCTCCGGGGCCTTGGTTCAACTTGGCTGCGCCTAAAATTGGGGGTGTCCTTTACTTGAATGAGTGGCTCCTCAGGAAAAGAAGGATGCCCTGGCAAACGCCATGGAAACACCTGGGCGGGTATCATCCTGAGTTTGGTGATAGGATGAAGGGTAGGATCAAATCACCCAGCCATTCAGATGCTGCTGAAGCAGGGAGCGTGCTGCTGGCAGGTTGACTTATCGTTCCCGGTCATTGTTGGGCGAGTTGAGCTGTTCGCTCAACCAGGGAGGCAAGCCAATTTATCAAGGGCTACTCTCCTTTGCACATTGGCTGGTTTTGGGTGTTACCCCCTTAGACCTTTTGGAAACAAACCTACAAAAGCTTAGAGCTCTTGCTCAAGGGGGAAGGGCAACCCAGAGCCATTTGACTCAAAAGGATGGTGTGCGTTCAATTTGTTCAAGCCCCAGGATCAACCGACAAGATCTGTCGAACAAATACAGAGCTCCCTCGGTCAATCATGCTTCAGTCAGGCCATCAGCTGTCATGCAACACCCTGCTTTGACAAACGTGCCTGCAAACAAGTGGATGTTAGCCGATGCTAGAGGCGTTTGCCTGAAGCCGGCAACACGTGGGGTTTGCAATCCGTGGCGGATATGGCCGCCGTCGTTTTCTGGCCTTCCTGGCTGCATGAGAATTTGCTATTCGTTTTGTTAGGCATCCAAGCACTCCAGTGCTCCGGCAACTCTGCGGCTTGCACCCTAGAAAGGTGACAGGTGGAGGCAACCCCACTGTGTGGAGGGATGGAATTGGCCGGGGGACGTGAACCCATCAGGTGGGGTTTGCGGGTCCCCCATGTTTTCGCAAGCATCAGAAAAGAGGTGCAAGGTGATGCCACTTGGGGCACACCAAGGTTTCACACGCCGCAACTGTCTAAGCGCTAGCATGTTGACCTCCCTCCCAGCTGTTCAACGTTTTGGCGTAAAGATGGTCGAACCCAGAAAGGATTCCATTTTGTTCCGTTGTTCCAGGGTTACAGGGTATTTGGGATTGTTAACTAGAAGAGGTTCTTACTCCCTACTTCCAATATACATAGTATATAGATGTACTGGGAATCAGCCCCCAAGAAGTTTTCCCTTTCCCCCCTTTTTGTTTGGGGGGCTTCCCCACCAAACATGGTCAACCCAAAAAAGAGCCCCCCCTTTTTTGTTTGGTGGGTTATCTCCACCAATCCTTGGGTGTCATCAGCCCTCCAGGACATCT